CATTGATTTTTTTTTTTTGTTTGATTTTAGGGTATATTGATGATGAAGAAGCAACTATGGCGACATTGGATTCAGAAGGATGGTTAAGGACTGGGGATCTTTGCTATATAGACAAGCAGGGTTTCCTGTTTTTTGTGGATAGAATAAAGGAATTGATCAAATACAAGGGCTACCAGGTTGTTGTTGTTCTTCATCATATACATTATAGCATATGAACTTAGTATCAACAAAATGCATAAGGAATTCATGGTTCTTATGTTCATTTTTTTTTTTTGGCACTGCAACAGGTTGCCCCAGCTGAACTGGAACATCTGCTTCAGTCCCATCCCGATGTCGTTGAAGCAGTTGTTGTTCCGTATGCCACTTATTTGCTATTATTCATTGCATTTATTAATCCAATATCCAGCATGAGAACGAATCAACGTTGATTTTGCATTTTTGATAGTATTCGTTGAATTTGTTTTCCTCAGGGTCAACTAAATAATTGAATGTGTTTGATAAATAAATCAATGTTTGTAGGAATTTTAGGCATTTGATAAGTATTGGACACTATTTTGTACGTCTAGCACATCATAGGTCTACCCTACGTGGTTTAACAGGTTAACGTCTGATAAATGGCAGGTTTCCGGATGAGGAATCAGGTCAAGTGCCAATGGCCTTTGTGGTTAAACAATCAGGAAGCAGCATACATGAATCTCAGATCAAGGATTTCGTTGCTAAACAAGTAATGAAAGAAAAATAACCGCTATTTTTCAGGTTATCTTTTTTTTCTTTTTTTTGCGTTGTTAATTAATAATTTGATCAATTCAGGTTGCCCCCTACAAGATAATACGGAGACTAATGTTCCTTGATTCTTTACCTAAGAATGCTGCCGGAAAAGTGTTGAGGAAGGAGTTAATCAAAATGGCCAATGCAATTTCCAAGTTGTAAAAACCGTATGCATCTGCATATCTACGGTTGTCTGTCTTACAGCGGTGATCATATACATAAATGCTATTTGGAATTCCTTGAGCTGTTACTCCAGCAACAAATGAACAGACGAGACTAGCAGGACATAGGGGGAATGTCAGTACCGCTTCTGTTTTTAAGACGTGCACCCTAATTATTATTATTTTTATTTACGTAGCGTCTCCTCTATTTCCTCATGTCTGGCAGAGAATTTGTCAAAGAATTTCAAGACTTATCATGAATTTCAAATAAGCAACCCCTATGCAAGGTTTGTGTCTGCTCTCTAACAGTATTCTAGTTGATATAATTGTACAGAGATAGACGATTTATTTCTTGAAATGATCATCACATGCACTGCTTTAGTATATCCTTACACTGCCCATAACGGAGAGAGAGGGATCAATGCCTGGAGTTATTGTAAAAAATTACTAGTCTAGAAGAGGAAGTAGTTCCGAGACAGGGGAACCGTGGTTGCTGCATCACAGGTGAGGATCTCACCATCTGCAGTCACGGTGTATGTTTCAGGGTCCACAGTGATGGATGGCAGGGCGTCGTTGAGTTTCATGTCAAGCTTGGTTAGTCTCCTAACATCGCCAACAGCTTCAACCCTCTTTCTGAGCCCGTATACCTTTTTAACCCCAGAATCTAAAGCTGCCTGTTTGTAAAGGAAAAATGAAAATGAAAATCTCCTTGATTATTCATCAATACACACAGTAATACTAGAGAAGGATTCGTACCTTGCTGACAAAAGCAATAGAGTGGGTGCTTCCAGCCTTGCCAAACGCTCCAAACATGGGCCTTGATAACACCTATTGCAGCAATAAAATGTAAATTTCATAGTAACCATGTTTGGTTTCTCTAATTAATCTTTGTAGAAGCACATACGGTAGCATCTTCTGGCAACCATATTATCCAAATAATCTTGTGAAAAAAATTTATTACCGATTACTTCACGCTGAAAATTGTGATTAACTACCATACTAATTAAGAAGGATTATTTTCTGTAAAAGTAGATTAAACTTCCAAAGCAGATAAAAAGGGATGGCCCTGACTCAAAATCATTCACATGAAATGGATGTAATCAGACTGCCTAGTTTTGCGTCACATTTAGGCATTTCATGTTAACAACTTAACATGGCAAAATGAGAAGTCAACTCTGGTGGTGGATACCTTGTTAAATAAATTAAGGTCAATATGACGTATGATCTATGGATTTGCACACAAATTAAATCAGAATATTTACCGGTTCAGGTGTCGGTATGCTCGCATTAGGGTCGCCCATATTTGCCCAGGCAATTGCACCGCCTTTAATCACCATTTCAGGTTTCGCCCCAAAGAAAGATGGCTTCCATAAAACAAGATCGGCCAACTTACCTACCTGCATGTACATAAAAATATTTACAAGGAAAATGGAGAGTCCCCACTGATTTTAAAATCGACCACCAGGACATAAAATTTATATCTTTTATAGTTAGATTACTAAAATAACTTTCCTTTTTAGTACATTTGGAAGTGCAGAAAGAGAAATAGGGATCTAAACCTTGAACCTCTCACTACCAATTCACTTTTTCTGGATGCCTTATGAGAAACTTAAAATGGTTAAAACTAGCAAGCATACCTCAATTGAACCAACAAATTTAGCAAACCCATTAGCTATTGCTGGATTTATGGTGTATTTGGCAATGTAGCGTTTGATCCTAAGATTGTCATTGTCTGATCCACCAGGACCAATTGGTCCCCTTTGCGACTTCATCTTGTGGGCAGTTTGCCAAGTTCTGCATATCACCTGCCAAGAAAAGAATTTCACTTAGTTTGACCATACATCACAAAACCATCTATGATCTCATTCACTAGCTTCAATTATGACAACAACCTCTCCTATACGACCCATGGCCTGTGAATCAGAAGATATAATGCTAATTGCTCCAATGTCATGAAGTATATCTTCTGCAGCAATTGTTTCAGCCCTTATCCTTGATTCAGCAAAAGCAACATCTTCAGGAATGTCCCTATCAAGATGATGGCACACCATCTAAAAGAATAGGAACCAGTGAGATGGAACAACCATAAATATCCAGCAGAGGACAACCACAACATCCAAAATTATAGTAGTATTATCTTCTCATACCAGCATGTCAAGATGTTCATCTATGGTATTAGAAGTAAAAGGTCGTGTTGGGTTTGTTGACGAAGGAAGGACATTTTTAACACCACATACTTTGATGATATCTGGAGCATGACCACCACCAGCACCTTCACTGAAAATATTAATTGGTTGAGCACAAAAGAGTTGTAAATGCAAACCAGGAAACTGGAAAGACAACAAAATAAAAGAAACAATGTTTATGCTCAATTGATTTTGTAACAGCTTAGTTATATTACAAGTCTTCAGTCAAACAGTCTATAGTTCTCTATTCATGAGACATCTCCGAAGAGCTTTAGCAATTAAATAATTACCATATCATATACAGTCTTGCAAGAATTGCACCCAGTGGTCAAGTTGGGAATTCAAAGTTGGAGAGAATGAAAACAAATTGCAGAAGAGCAATCACATGGAAGTGCAAGTTCTTGTCTTTCCTTTGAGAAAGGTTTTTGGGGAATACTGGATGGAGGAAAATGTAGTACCTGTGATAAGCATGGATAGTTCTTCCTTTAAAAGCAGATATTGTTTGTTCCACATATCCAGATTCATTTAAGGTGTCTGTGTGAATATTAACCTGCCAAAATCAGATACACAGGCTAGTTAAAACATGAAATTAGAATAAAACGTTAAAGCTTAGAAATTTCTTATTCTCATTTTTGCTGCCTGGATGTCATGTTGTTCTCCAACAGTCAAACAATTGTCTATTGTAGCAGGAGTAGTTCCCCAGTCCTCATGTAGTTTCAACCCCATTGCTCCAGCCCTAACTATTTCATGTAGCTCTTCAGGTTTTGATCCATTGCCCTAAAGTTCAAAGAATCAAATATTTGATTTTGATTAAGGACCCCTACAGATGAAAAGTTCTACCATCTTATACATCATGTAATGAAGAAAACATGCCAATCCTTCATGTGCATAGGTTAATCATGAAAACATTGTTTACTCAAAATATGAGCATACCTTTCCTGTGAAGCCTAAATTTAGAGGAAAGTCATCTGTTGACTGCAGCATTAATTTCATTTGAAATGGAGCAGGAGTACATGTAGTCGCTCGGGTTCCATCAGCCGGTCCAGTTCCACCTCCCACTAAAGTTGTTATACCTACATGAATTTGGAAGGTTCAGGGAGAAAAGAAAATCTCTTTCAATATTTAGTAAAGATATTTGGTGTGATTAAATCATTTTTAACCTTTGTTCACAAAATTTTATCCAGAGGTTAGTTAGACTGTACATTGACAAGCCCATGCATTTACTTCTATGGCTGAAGTACATATGATGCATGATGTGCTTTGCTCGCACCATATGTGCTAAAGCATGTAAAAGCATTGCTCACCGCTTGATATTGCTTCATGCATCAGTTGAGGGCATATGAAGTGCACATGACAATCTATGGCTCCTGCGGTTACAATGAATCCTTCTCCAGCAATAACCTCAGTGTTAACCTGAGAAGGAGAAGGCATAAATATCCACCAGCATGCAATACTAACTTTTGCACAATTTCATATCAGGATAAGGAACTTACACCAATGATCATGTTAGGAAGAACACCATCCATGACATCTGGATTGCCTGCTTTCCCAAGGCCAACAATAAGACCACCTTTAATACCAATATCTGCCTTAAATATTCCAGTATAATCAATGATTATGGCATTTGTTATGACAGTATCTACAGGCTCATCAGGTCGAAGCACGCAAGCTTGTCCCATGCAGTCTCTTATAACTTTTCCACCTCCAAATACACATTCATCACCATAAATAGCAAAGTCTTTCTCAACTTCAGCATACAAGTCAGTATCACCAAGCCGAACTTTGTCACCAGTAGTAGGGCCATACATGTTAACATATGCTTCACGAGAAACTATTGTGGTCAAAGCAGGATCTTCCCCTGTGAGATTTTCACTGCCAAAACAATGCCAAGGTAAGGCATTTCAGTCTTTGATTATTTAGGTAAACTAGGCTTAGTAATCCAGACATTTTCTCTCTTTTTTCTCTTTTGGCCAACAATCAAGACATTCTTTTAATATCATAAAAAATTGGTGGTAATCCAAGCTGCACTAAGTTGCTAGTTGTAAGCTCAAACCTGGTATTTGGTTCTTCAAGATTCCCATAGCCCCCTTTGTCTACAGTTTCCATTACTGCTTCAATTTTGGCATGATCAACAGGACCATCAACAATGCCATTTCCTCCCCTACTCACTTTCTTGCCTCCAATGCTTACAAGTATAACTCTTTTGGTTTCCCCAGGCTACAAAATAAAACAAGTTTCAGTTGAAGAAAGAGTAGATTGACCCAAGAGTCAATTGGCCCAGCCATTAATATGCCAAGGAAGAAGTCATTTTAATCCAAAATGATCAAAATCAAAATTTACACATGAACTTTTCCTTTAAGAAAACAATTACTAGTGCTAAATGCCAATGCCATTGTTTAGGGATCCAACCTAGAGCCAATAGGTAATAAGTGGGAGGCCCAACTTGAATATATTATAAGGTCATAAGAAACTTTAAAGCAAACTAAAGTGGAACAATGCTGCTGCCTGACAGTCATAACATTCAGAACACCTCCCTTTTTTATACCAGAAAGTATTTATTTCTATAAGACAAACAATTCAATCACTCTTTGTTGCACTTACATGATAAAACAACACAAAGTAGAAGCTTTTGAAGAAAATGAAAGTTACTGAGTTCTACCTCAAAACGTGTGGCTGTCCCTGCTTGTATGTTTAGGCGCATGCCATATGCTTTTCTTCGATCAAAAACCAAGAAAGGGTTCACCTCAATAAAGTGGTAATGACTGCCAACCTGATTTTTATAAAAAATTACCGCCAGAAACAAAATAAGGTCTCAAGTCATTCACTTCCTGTACTCTAGAAAAAAGATATGAATATTTGTTTGTCAATCGGTTATACATCAAAGAGTTTCAGGTAACTACTCCACAAGCCAAAAGTCCTAAGAGGAGGATGAATATTATAGCTATCACCAGCTAAACTCAATCTAGATCAGCAAATGCTTGTCATTAATAAACACACAATTAAGACTGCTGCTGGCTGCAAGTAAGTTCTGGATAAATCATGCTTCAACACCTTGTTAACTTCAAAGACCTGATTTTGTATATCATTTTTGTTAACAAAAATCCATTCTAACAAATCTTTCCATGCTTATTAACCACTAATCAGATAACATTGAATGTTGTCAAGGTAAGTGAGATCCATATGACATAAGGCAATAGAAAGGAATTAATAAGTATTTTAAAACTCAAAGCAACAATTAGGTAAACAAATCAGTCCTTCACTGCCAAAAGAACAAATGCATGCCAGAACTTCCCTCAGCCTTCCGTATATCATCAAGTTCAAAATTCTGATGCACAAGTTTCATTTCTGTAACTAGATATCTTGGCCATAACATGGTACCCAATAAACTAAAGATAAGAAAAGGCAAATCAAAGAAATTAAGGATTGGAAAGTGAAAGCCAACACCTGTATTGGCCTGTCTCCAGTGTTAGTAACTCTAAGGCGTATTGCTTTCCTTCCAGGGTTAAGTGTAATACTCCCACCTCCAAAGACTACCTCACCAGGAATTTTGGTATCTTCTATCTCAATAAAACTCTCTACAGAAGGCACTGTATAATTAAAATTTTGTCAGATCCAATTGGAGAGAGATGATAATAGTTCATATGCACTTCAACTTAGGCTCAGGACGTTTCAAAACTATGTTACATGGTAACTAGAAAAGAATGCAGAGTATTGATTACATATGCCATAGCATATAAAGCATAACTGAGAAGATTTCAGTAGGGAAAAAGGGTCAGCCAGATTTGAGCAATACAGAAGACCATTAAGATTTAATTGTGTTGTATCATGAATGGGGAATTGCTTTCATTAAATTTTAGTGATTCATAATGTCCTTCGTTCATCATGAGGCAGCAGAATCTTCTCATGATAGTACAATATTCCAGATTCTCAGATTTTCCCAACTGCTTTTATGGGGACCTTTTACTTCGCACTAGTATGTAAATTATAACCCTATGACAAAATTATATCAAACAAAAAACAGAAAAAAAAATTAACAAGAAAATCAACAAAAAGGGTACAGCACATATTCATCAATCTCATGAACTGCTCCTTGATAACCCTTATATCATGGATAAGGTCTGTGTAGATGAAATTTAAGTTTTGAAAGTAAATACAGACTTACAAATGTAAGTAGGGAAATACATACCCAAAAAAAGGAGTAAAGAAGATAAGCACATACCTGGAAGAAAAGAACCTTGCAAAGCAAGAGTGAGGTTTCCATTTTCACTAGCAATTGGATCATGAACAGTGATTAACTTTGTCCCATCAGGGAATGTCCCTTCAACCTACATTGATATTACCTATTAATACAATGTAGATAAATTTTGGGTAAAAAGGAGCTTCAGGGGATAACAAGCTAGCAATATGTGCCAGTTTGCACTCTGTTTCAAACCTTTTGAACTACAACTAATTTTTTGAACTACAACTAATTTTTGAGTTGACAAATTATAAATAATTTAGAACCAAACATATAATGTGTAGCCTATAGAAGTAGGTATCCAATGAAATAATGCAGAAGATACCGACAGAATGTCAAATATGATCAGAATATTTGTGAAATGCAAGCCATATTAATTAGAGCCAAATCACTGTTATCCTATATATAACTTTTACTTGAACTCAAAAGATACAACAATTATTAATGAATTTCAAAGAAACCTTCAGTATCAAAAACTGTGGTAGGTCGGAGCAAAATACCTGAACAGTATCCAAAAGATGTGGAACAGCAGGAAGAACTTGCCTCCTGTTTAACATTATTTTTATTTTTTAAACAAAATATTAGAACCAAAATGTTATCAAGCAGTGTAATAACAGCACCTTTTTTGACAACCTAAAAGCATGGCATGAAGTTTACCTTCCTAAGAGTTGCCTACCAATATCCATCAATTGTGCCACACTCTTATCACCATCACGAACAAATTCCAAAATCTATGAACATCAAACAAAGTGAAATAAAATACAAATTCCCATTTTCCTTAACCATCCTCATCACAACTTTGATGTAATTTCAATCATGAAAATTACACATAAACATCTATGCAGGCACACACACATAGATACATATACTCGCACATACACACACACATGCAAATATATCTTCATACTAACATACATGCCTTCTTATATACATATGAATGAATATATATATATATATATATATATATGCATATGCATATAGATACACTTGTAACTGAACAAGCACCTGACTGGCTATGAGAGCCACAGCTTCAGTGTGATTAAGGCGGAGTCCACGAGCAAGACGCTTCTGCGCGAGGAATCCGGCGTTATGGAGGCAAAGTTTCTCTACTTCTCTCGGCGTCAGTTTCATTTTTCTTCTCTCAATTCTAGCTTTCACTTAGTCAACGCTCCCTGCCGGCCACCGCTCCACCGCTACATTCACCGTCAAAACAGAAAGAAAATGCCTACAATCAGCATTTCACGGAAAGATGAAGTCACAGATTTTTCCATTTCAAAACCAGAATTCCAATACACAGATTGAAACCATCATAAGATCACGAAGATTCAGAGTAACATAAACAGATTCATCATTTAAGAAATCGAATTGAAACAACGAAAAGATCGATAGAAAGTTTCTGTGTAAGTGACGAAAATTTATAGAGAAATGAAAGAGAGAGAGAGTTCTTGTGTTACCTTTGAAAATTGAAATCGCTCAGAAGTGGACCACCGAAATAGACTGCTGGAGGCAGTGGAGACGAGAGAGTGGTTAGGACCTGACCGAAAGAAAGTATACTTTTTAAAAACTTTCCCCACTTTTAACTTTGGTTAAATCCCCGATTCAGTCCCTCAACTTTCATTTTTGAACCAAATTTACCCTCAAACTTCAAAAAATACTAAAAAAACTTCAATTTGTGGGACTAATTTCGTCCTTCCGTCGACTGAAGTGCCAAATGACACGTTAAGTTGTTACAAAATCAATTTTTATTTTAAATTTTTAGTGATGTGGAAAACAAAACATGCAAAAAGTGATGAGGTGGCCATTTTTTCTTTCAATCTGGCATTTTAAGTGAAATTTAATACCTACCCTAATACTCACCGTTTCACTTCTCCTAATGCACATCGAACACCAAAAACCCTAAATCTAATCTCCAGGCTGTCGCACCCTTTGCCCTCCAATCGTCGTTCTCAACCTTTCTTCTCTTTTTCTTCCATCATCCTCTAATCACCGATCTTCTTATCAACCACTTCCCAGATTGCGTCCGCATCCCTGTCATCCTCATCATATTCTGAAGACACAAAAAGCCCCAGATCGTTACCGTCAAAATCGTCAAACTCATCCTCTTCCTTGTCTTCTCCAGGCTTTCCACTGCCACGGCCGGAGGCAGCCATAGTAAATCGATCCAAAATGTCAGATGTGAATAATCGGGCAAGCCCAATATCGAATTGCGTTGTGAATCCAGTGGCACCACGGCCAAGCCCAGTAGCATAATTGGAAGGAGGCGAATTGGGGTTTAGGAGAGCTAGTGAGGCATTGTGATTTGGGGATGATGCTGAATGGATTACAGGAGAGAGAGGGTGGTGAATTGGGGATCGACTTTCAGGGATATAGTTTTCGAGTTGGGAGTCGAGATAACCGTTCTCACCCATCTCTTATCTTCATCACCTTTATCACCGATCATTGTTCTCACTCATCTCTGATCTTCATCAACGATTATCATGCTCCCCTATCTCTAATCTTCATCGCCGAACGACCCTTTCCCGATACTACTTGAAGGTGAGGATGACGATGGGCAAGATGATGATGGCCAAACCTTGGCTAGGTCGTGGTGAGAACCTGGACATACCCAGATGGGTTCTCATCGAGAGAACCAGATCTGGGTTTTCTTCTTGAACCCAAGCTCGGTATTAGTGAGAAGCCAAGCTATAGGTTCTCAATGGGAGAGCCTTATGTTTTTTTTTTTTTGTTTACTTTATTCTTGAATTCTTCTAGCCAAACTTAGGTTTATTTTAAATTGGAAAGCAAACCCATGAAACCATATTTTTGCAGCTTCAATTGATCTGGGTTTTTATGAATTGTTTTGGGTTGTTTTGTTTTCGTACAAATTGATCAGGTTCGTTCCTTTTTTTTTTGTCCTAGCCATCCTAATCTCATTTGTTTGTTCCTTTTTCGATCTTCTTCTTTTTATTTTATTTTTTTTTTATTTTCATACAAAATGATTTCGTTTCTTGTCATGCAAATTGATTC